TTTTTGAGGCAGATGAATTAGTGCATGGTAAACATACTTAGAAAAGCAGTTTTAAAACTATCTAATTGTGTCAGTCCCTTTTATAACCTTGAAAATTTGTTTCAAAATTTTCTTTCCAATCTTTGGAGAAATTCAACACTGTGTGACAAGATTTAGGAGGCCCCCTGACCTGTGCCTCTCTTCCCTTCTCTGACACCTCATGAGTTCATCTGTCCTGTTCCCTGTAATGAATTGTTTGCCATTCCTGGAAGGTTTTGGAATTAAGATTTTCATAGTATCATCTTACCTTCTTGTAAAAACAAATTATGGTTGGAGATATAATTTACATATTATGCAATTCATTCTCTTATACAGATTAGTTTTTAGAATACTCAGAGTAGCCATTAAATTAACACCGAATATTTTCATTACTCCAAATGGAAACCCTATACTTACCGGCTGCCACTCGTTTCTGCTCAGACTAAGGCAAGGACCAATCTTCTTTTTATCTGCATGGATTTATCTATTTTGAGCATTTCATGTAAGTAGACCCTTACGGGGTATGGCCTTAGGTGTCTGTTCTCACTTAGCATGTTTTCAAGGCCTCCATGCTGCAGTATGTATCAGCGCTTCGGTTCTTTTTGTGACATGTCACTTTCAGGAATGAATGAATTTATTCATCCGTCAGATGATGGGCACTGAGCCATCTGCACTTTTTGGCTAGTCTGAACTATGTTGTGATGAAATTCATGTACATGTTTTTGTGTGGCTATGCTCCAAAGCCTTTAGGTAGATCCAGAAGTAGAACGTTGGGTCACAGAACTATTTAACATTTTGGGGAACGGTCTATAAGAATTCCAAAATAAGTGCATCATTTTACACTAAGACCAACAATGTATGAGGACTTGTTTCTGGCCAACATTTTTAAAAAGTATCTATTTATGTTTACCAGTGTTTTGCCTGCATGTAAGTGCACCTGTCTCATGCAATGCCTGCAGAGGTCAAAAGAGGGTGTGGTCTCAAAAGACCAAAAAAGAAAAAAAAAACATATAAAAACGTGATTCTCCCACTGCCTGTCTCCCCTCACTGTGCTCAGCTGGCTTGCTGCCTTCCATTCATCCCTCCATCAGACCCTGCTTCTAGAAACCACCAGGGTCAGTGGCTCTTCACCAACTCTGTTATGCTACTCACCTGACCCATCCACAGCACCTCCAAGGCTGTATGCCTTCTGAGTGCCTTAGCAACTAGCACATAATAGTTGCTTAATAAATACTTAAATGAGAAAACATTTTTGAGAATAAAAAATGTGAGTAGAATGGATTGAAAGAGACAATGGGGAAGATAGGTGGTGGGTAAGACTTCCAAGGAAGGATGGTGTCCCTGTCCTCTTTGTGGCATGACAGTGTATGAAACTGGGCTATTTATTTTGGTCTTTTTGAGACAGGGTCTCCCTGTAGCCCCAGTTGGCCTAGAACTCACTATGTAAACCAAGCTAGCCTTGATCTCAGAGATCTGCCTGCCTCTGCCTCCGAAGTGTTAGAATGAAAGGCATGCACTACCGAGTCCAGCCAAGACTGGGTGATTTATAATCAACAGGTATGTACTGGCTCTTGAGACTGGGAAACTCCCAAGTCTGAGAGGGCAGAAGCTAGCGCTTAGTGTAACACCCATCACATGGTTGGTTTTCTCCTTTTTTAATTCTTTCCAGGGCCATGTTGAAGATTCTCATGTCCCTAAGTTGTTTCCTTTTTAATTCCATCTTTAGGAGATAGAGGGATGGCTTTGTGCTGCTCTTGCAGAGGACCCTGGTTCCATTCACAGCAACCACGTTGGCCAACTCATACCTGCCTGACTCCGGCTCCTAACTCCTGACCTCCTTGTCTAGGCTTGGCAGGCAGCTGCATTCACGTGTGTACACAAATACAATTTGAAAACTCCCATCTTTATAACACACTTCTTTCCACTTTACTATCTGCAGTTAAAAGCAGCAGCTTCTTCAATATAACTCAATTCTGCTTCAGAATTTCTTCACATTGGCTTGGTCTAGTTCCCTGGTACAGTATTTACTTAGCATGTGCGTCAGACCCTGGGTTCAGTCCCTTGCACACAAAAAAAGAAAAGAATTTCTGCCACTAGATACTCTAGAGAAGCAAGTTCTGAAATCCCTGCCTTGCCAGGGACATTACTCTGTTGCCCTTCCCAACCTGTAACGAGGATGACCTTTACTCCAGCTCCTAACACCTTGTCTATTTCTGAAGCCTTCTTAGACATCCTTACCTTTCTATTTGTACCAATATTCTGACCGTTGATGTAGTGCCTGTGACATTTAGACTCCCTACAGGGCTTCCCTCACAAGAGCTGTCCTTGGCATCCCGTTCATGGTAACCTAGGTCCTCTCTAGCCTCCTTCTCCAAATACCTTCTCCAAATCCACTGCTCAATTCCAAAACCACGTCCACATCTGCAGATATTACAGCACACTCTGCTCCTCTGGAACAGATTTCTTCTCAATGCTTTAGAGTTGCTGTAACAGAACGCTGTAGACTGGGTAATTTATGATGAACAGCAATTTCTCAGTGACGGAAGCTGGGAAATCCAAGGCCACGGACATACTTGGTAATGGTCTTCTGCGTTGTCTTGTGGCAGAAGGCAGAATGTTAAGAGATTGCAAGAGGGTGAGAGGGAAAAAGGGGAGGGACACAAACACACACACACACACACACACACACACACAGACCAAAACACCCCCCTTTAAAAAACGAACTCATCTCCTGCAGAAAGGTTTGAATCCACTGAGAGCACTCCTTGCTTAATCTCCTTCTCTCAGCACCACTACCCTGAAGGCTGTTTTTAACACGGGCCTTTTAAAAATTTATTTACGTATTTATTTATTTTTTGGTCTTTTTGAGACAGGGTCTTCCTGTAGTCCCAGCTGGCCTGGAACTCACTATGTAGACCAGGCTGGCCTTGAACTCACAGAGATCCGCCTGCCTCTGCCTCCCAAGTGCTGGGATTGAAGGTGTACGCCACCACGCCTAGCTTATTATTTTTATGTATATGAGTGTATTGCCTGCATGTGTGTAAGTGCACCTGTGTTGTGCAATGCCCACGAAGGTCGGAAGAGGGCGTCAAATTCCCCTGAAACTGGAGTTATGGACGGTTGTTAGCCACCATGTGGGTGCTGGGAATCAAACCCTGGTCTTCTGCAAGAGCAACCAGTGCTCTTAACCGCTGAGCCATCTCTCCAGCCCCAACACAGGCCTTTTGAAGGACACATTCCAACCACAGTGCACAATAAAGAAAATGAGTAACATGTCACTATGAGTTACCAGTCTGTGTAACAATAGACACTAAGAGTGAGAAATTAACAGTGAATTAGTCCTAAGTGCTTACACAAAGACAAGAAATAGGGAGAACACTGAGAAGCTGGCCCAGGTTATTGGGATATTCCTGAAGGTTGAGGTTGAAATCCAGCTAGCTTACCTCAACTCCTTAAGATGAACATCTGTTTTATTTCATACTTAAACTCATTAAAGCATTGCACTCACTATGGTGGGAACTTATGGACTACTCATAAAAGTACTGACTCCTGAAGATTAGGTGAAGCAATCCTCCTCTCCCCCCACCTTGCCACCATCATACCTGGTCTGATCCTAACTTCTGAGTCCTTTTGCTCTGCTACTTACTGAACAATTTTTCCTGCACTTCATATTCATCCTTTGGTTCTTTTTCATGCATCAAAACTGATCAGGTCATAAGGATCAAGCACCATCTCAGGGTTTAGCAGTAAATATAATCCCTGGCAACAAGTCAGTCTGTGTACTCACAGAGATTACTGTTATATAATAGACACTGTAAGGAGGCAGGAAGTCTTCACAGAGGGCGACCACACAGTTCAGGGAGACCCCTCAAAGTGACGAAGACTCATTAGGAGTTAGCAAAGGAAAGGTGGTGCCACAGAGAGAAGAATGAGCCAGAACAGAACATGGCATGCAAAGGGAAAGCACGCGAAGGGACATTCATGGACCTTAGCTGACAAGGCTGGTGAGGGCAGCAGGGGCCAGATCATGAAGAGCCTCACCTGCATATATTCGGGCTTGATCCTAAAGCAAATACAAGTCCCAACTTCTAATTCACAAAAATTCTTATTGGAATAGGCAGAAACCACTTTAAGACTTACCCATAGAATGAGTTCAAATTAAAGTTCCCTAGTTGGTGGCAGCTAATGTGGGGGTAGTATAGGGGTGGATCCCAGAACCTGGGTAGAAGGAGTCCTTCCCCTGAATGTCCAACTGCTAGTCCCTGCTGGCCCAACAGCAGTGTTGCAAACTTCTCTACAAGGGAATGTTCAGGGGTGGAAGAATCTAGGTCCCATCCTCAATCTAAGATCTAAATTAGTGCTTGTGACTGGTAAGAAAATCTACAGCCATCACTTTGGGGCAACTGCATTTTGCCTCTGGGAATTGGAAACAGCTCTAGGAAGTACAAAGGGCAACGATCCAGATTTCCCACAATAATCATCATTTATCTGCAGCAACAATATGACAAGACTATAATTCAAAAATTCTTGTAAGGAGGGCTAAAGAACACAGATTTCATTCATAGACTTTATATAACTAAAGAGGCACAAGATTTCCCCATCATAATGCCTCTACACTCCTCAGTGTCAGTTACTCCCAGTTATGGCTGCCACAAACCGCCCGCTCCTTCCCGTAGTGTAACAGTATTTTAATTCTCAGTAACGGCTCCAAGGGGCACAATACTCTTGTTTTCCCTCTGCCCTCCCCTGCTCCTGACCTTATCCAAACAATAACCTGTCAAATTCTAGGGAAGTTAGGAAAGAGTGGAAATGTTATTTTAGAAATAATCTATACCAAGTAGACATTTTGGAAAAAGTACAAGCCTCACAGTTAAATTCAAGGAGCTGAATAAATTGGCGATCTAGCTGAAATTGGCAAGACAGCTTGAGAAGCACTACGACAGAGGAACAGAAGACATACTGGAAAAACAAAACCCACACAATCACTGATAGCAAAATAATTTTATTTAGTTTCTTATTTTAAAAAAGGTAGCATTTCACATACAAATTTAGACTTAAAGGTTACAGTGTATATTTACCAAAAGGAACACTCCTGAAGGATGGCTAGCCTTAGCTCACTGAGTGGGCAGGGAAGCTCACTCCATGGAGCATTTACGTGAAAGTGCTTTCTTTAAGCCTTCACATGACACCTCCCTGTTCCTCAACCCTGCTGTCAGGGCTTGTGACGGGTAAGAAAATCCACAGCCATGACTTTGGGGCAACAGCATTTCGCTTCTGGGAATTAGAAACAGCTCTGGGAAGGAAAGCACAAAGCGATGATCCAGATTTCCCGCAACAACCATTTATCTGTAGCAACAATATAAGACTATAGTTCAAAAATTCTTGTAAGGAGGGCTAACGAATACAGATTTCATTCATAGAGAATTTATGTAATTAGATGAGGAAAATGATTTTCTCCACATTACAAATGCCTCTATACTATAAGGCCTAAGGGGGAAAAAAAAAAAAACATTCAAATCTGGGCTTTCCTTTCCCAAATAAAGTGTTTGGCACAACCCATCAGCTGTCCTGAGACTGACAGCTGAGAGGTTTCAGGAAGTGGTCCCATAACTTTTCTGTCGGGCTTCAACGTAAGTGTAAAATAGAGCTGTCAAGAAGCTGCACAGACTCAGGTCCACCTGTGCAGTAACGTGTTCCAGGAAAGTCAATTTGATGAAAAAAAGGTCTAGATGAAGCGGATATCCTACAGCCAGCCACAGGTTAACTCTGTCATCTCATGGAGAATAAATTCACTGGCTGCCCAGGAAGTCACTGTAATCCCAATCTCCTAGAGAAACTTTGATTTCAGCATCCCAAGGTCAGAGGGAAACGAGACAAAGATGCCCACAGATGCTTTCTAGGTCACTGTGTTCTACTCTCTGTGAACAACCTTAAGGAGAATCAGTGTGTTAGTAAGCACGGCAACTCTGGAACTTAGCCTTTAGACAGAAGTGGTGGGGTAAATGAATGTACCCCAAATCCAGTTTTAAAAGTAAAACTTCCTGTAATTTTGATACAATACTGTGCTGTGATTTAGGAACTGTACACTGTTCCTATATCTGGTCAAAGCCCTGTTCTATTCTTGGTCAGCCACAGCTGCGGTGACATTTAAGGAGTCATCTGTAGCTAAAAACCAGATACCTTAAGTCACACATGGGCTAGGGCAGTGATGTTGGCAGTTATGGCCCAATGGAGGAGATAAATGCAGGGCCCCAAGCTTTTATGCAGAGCCAAAGTTACATGTTCCTCAAATTTAAACTGATCTCTTTAGCTCTGAGCCTACTAATGCAATCAACTATTGATGAGGGATCTCTGGTTGGGTGGCAAAGTGCGTGTCCCTGCAGGCCACCAACCTGACTAAAGGAAAACCGAAAGGTGCAATTTCTATCAAGTAAATGGTTACTCAACTGGAAGATCATTTCCTGGGGAATGCAGAGGCCTAGCTGTTAATCACATGGAGGAATGTGGGACTGAACTTTAAAGAGAGTCTGGGTCCCAGGTACAGTCTTATTTAATTTACCATATCCTGGTGGTCCGCTCTCTGGCCTCCTATCTCTTGAATGTCTGAGCACACATGTCCCCAGGGACCAATGTAAACATTATTCAATAGACCTCAGCTTAAGAAAACCACAGCTTGTTATATAGCGTTTGCCATTCCAGTGCAGGCAGTATCTTAGCGTCAGATTTTCATTCATGAGTACCGGTTTAAAAAGAAAAACATACAGAATATTTGATAAAACTGTGGCTAAAAAGACCTTTGAGGGCCAGGCAGCTGGCTCTAGCCTGCACTCAGCTGGCAAACCAGGACTATCACAAGAGTCAGAACAGAGCATGAATTCTCTGTGAATCTGAAGAGTCCATATGATCACTGTTCCCACTTAGCCCCTTGGGCAGCATCTTGATATGGGAGAACATTTCCACCTCTTGCATCAACCTGTGCTCTCCTTGTTTTGGATGGGGCTCTCTCCAGAGGGTTCAAGAGCCTCCTGAGGGGGAAGGGAGCCTTCTCTTCCAGTCCTAACATCAGAATATTTCAAAGCACAAGAGTAGTCCATGAACATGTTAGGGATGTTGCTGCCAAAGTAGATCTTACTGTTAGAAGCAATGGCCTGGTACTTTTTGAGCTCCAGGTATTCTGGGGTCAATTTGTGCTGTGTGGGACAAAGAAGAGTAAAGAAATTAGGATAGTTTTGTGCAATAAGTCACCTCTTTTTCCCCTACAGCCATTTCTCTCATTTCTATCCTGAGCAACATGACTCAACTTGGAATGTTTACCAATGACTCTCTCACTTGGAGTGTGGCTATCATACTAGCGGCTAAGTTCCTGACTAAAATTCCTTCAGCAAGCTCCTATATTAATGCAAGAGCTGTATACTTCTTACTAGATGGGGAACAAATAACTAATGATATTTCTTTTTTGTGACTTAGGGCATACAAAGTACTTTTATATGCATTTTCTATTTCATCTAGCTGAACTCAACCTGAAACTGACATGGAATTTCTATTGATTCTCTTGAGAGGTACAAAGGTCAACAGATCAGTGTTAGGGCTTCCAAAGAAAACCCTGGGTTCACAACAATACAACCAGCTGCCTATGTGACTTAACTTTTCTTGACCAAATTCAAGAAGTCACCTGATCTGGTGACATTTTGCCTTTACCCAGAAGTTGGTTGTTTAAATCATTTGTGATACAGATGTCTGTCAACCACCATAACTGTTTGCATCAGTATTTTACTTAAAAAAAAAAAATTTTTTTTTTGAGATAGTGTCTCATGTATTTCAGGCTAGCCTTAAACTTGCTATATGTAAAAAGATGACCTTGAACTTCTGATCTGCCTGCTTTCACTTCCAGAGTGCTGGTATTACTGGCATCTGCCACCATGCTGTTTATGAGGTCCTAGGGATCGAACCCAGGGTTTCATGCTTCAGGCAAGCACTCAACTAGCTGCGCTATACCCATACCCTGTCAGTATTTTGTTTAAATTACAGTGTCATGATATATTTAACCAAAATTTCTTTCTCTTTGATTGAAACTCATTTCCACTGTCCCAGATCATCTGTTCTCAAAGCTCCTCAGAACTGTCCCCAGCAGTCTTCTCTCAAGTGCCTTGTCTCAGGTCCTATTCTCCTTCCCCAGTACCACAGCACCCACTCTCTACACTCCAGCACCTTCCATGCTGGATCTCACCCTCTCCAGTTGATTTTTATCCTCTGTCAAAATACTACATCAAATCTGGTCACCCTCTACAACTAAATTACTTCTTAAAGTCCTTTTAATATAGGTTGATGTATGGGCTATATTTTTCAAAGTGGCATAAAATTCCTACCCCTTTCAGGATAAAATCTGATCTCAATAGTAAAGTCTTTCTTTAAAAAAAAAAAGTATTTTATTTTTTATTTTTATGTGTGTTTGCACATGTGCAGGTGCTCTCAGAAGTCAGAAGAGGGCTTAAGATACCCTGAGGCCAGAGTTACAGGCAGTTGTGAACTGCCTAAGCTGGGTGCTGAGAACAAAACTCGGAGCCTCTGCAAGAGCAACACAAACTCTTATCACTGAGCCAGCTCTCCAGCCTCAACAGTAAAGTCTTGATGCTTGTCTGATCAACACCTACCATCAATTTGGACCGTTATATGTGTCAATTTTCCATCTTGCTTTCATCTTGACCAAACTCCATCCTGTTTCCTCTGATATTAAATTTATACTGGTTTCCAAAGTTCCGACAATTTACACTGTCAACCCATCACATCTGACCATTTCTTCTAATTTATGCCTTTCCTTTCTAATTGAAAATTTAAACCCTCTATATCTTAAATCTTGATCTGCATGACCTACCTTAGCAATCTCAGTAGCACACATGCATGTAGAAATGTTACGTGTGAGGGGTGCTAAGCAACAAGCACTACAGGCATGTAGCAGGCAAGGGCTAGGGGTGCAAAATAGACCACAGTATAGCAGAGTCTTCAACAATGGAAGTATCTCATCCCAATTCCTAAGTATGTCTCAGATAAGAGGCATTGCTCTAAACAAGTTTAGTTTCTATTCTGAAAAGCTACTGTATCTGGAAAACTGTTCTAAGTGAGTTTTATTATTTTCTTGTCACTCTTCCAAGAGATCTTCAATTTTACAGAGCCCCTATATTTCAGTTCAAATGAATGGATTTATGGCGTTTGACTTGTGCTTAGGTATCTGTTTATCTTTGTTCCAGAGTTCCTTACTTTTATAAAAAATTATTAATGTTCCCAATGAGTATCAATATGTCTTATTAAATAATTGGCCAAGGATGGGTTTGTTATTACTTGACAATGAATAAAATTACATCTACTCTATCAACCCCTAAAAAAGGGAATGCACATCAGGAACTAGCACTATGAAAGGGGAATGCAGAGCCAGTCACCTTGTTTGAAGTGGCGTATTTGTGTGCAGCATAATACTCAGCATCTGCTTTTGCCTTCTCTCGGGCCAGGAATGCAGCATCTAGCAAGTAAAACACAGTCACAGCATGTTTGCAACAAAGGAAAGTTGCTAATCTATTCCCTCAGCTGAGTAAGAGTCCCTTTTCCCATTGCTTAGTATTTCAATTGTTTGCCTCACTCTAAAAGTTTATAACATTAGCAGTTTTCAAGTCCCAGTCCCCAGGACAGCTTCTTCTCAAGGGGAAATACCTTTGTCATTTTTAAGTCCATTAATTTTCTATGCTAAGTGACTCCTTTTTCCTGTACCTCCCCCTCCCCCTGCCTGTCATCCCATCACCCTCACACTCCATCCAGGCAGGTTTCAAGCAAAATAACAAAGTCTAGAAATGAAAGTTCCATTCTATTTCCACCCTCACCAAATCTGATCCAGAATCAGTTAACATAGAAAACTTAAAAACACTTGTATTATAGGCAAAAGTGTCCTTAAGACCATGACTGAACGTGGCCTGGAGGATGTCCCTGTGACCACAAGCCATGGACCCGCCTCCTTCCCACACTGTGCAAAGAAGCCACCCCCCTTCCCTTTTCCACCAATTGGTTGACCATAGCTGCTTGCAGGGGAGAGGCTAAGGGTATAAAAGTTGGGAAAACCACGAGGCTGGTCGCTCATCATTTTGTGAGGCTGTCCAGAACCACAGGATTTATGTCTGGGTGTGGACTTTCGAACACAGCTGGGACTTTCCTTTCGGCATCAGCTGTGAATGGGGGGGGGCGCCCACCTGTCTGTAAGTAACCGGCACCCCAAGCTCAGTTAGCAAGTCCAATAAACTCATTAAAGATTCTTCAAACTGCAGTTTGGAGAATTTTTTTCCTCAGGCTGTTGCAAGGACTGTGGGAGGAGGGGATTGGATGCCATGTGCACCTCCCAGCAGTGAATTTGACTTACACCTAAGAACACCAACATTAGCATATGTAAGTCCTGGGTTCAATTTCCTTGACTCTTAGTGACAGCAAAAAGGAAATCAACATGCCACTATGCAATAACAGAATTTCAGGTTTTCTGTTAAAACTGGGTCTTATTTTTTTCTCAGCGAATTTATTGTTATTGCTGTTGACAGGTGACAAACAGGTGGTGGTAAACTTATTATTCTGTATATTCTTTTTTAAAAAAATTTTATTTTTAATTATGTGAACATGTGTGCATCTGTGTGTGGGTTTGTGTCCATGAGTGTAGTGCCTGTGGAGGCCAGAGGAGGGCATCAGATTCCCTGGAGCTAGATTTATAGGTGGTTATGAACCACCTGACATGGGTGCTGGGAACTGTACTTGGGTCCTCTGTAAGAACTGCATGTGCTTTTAACCATGACCTTAGATGAGCTATCTCTCCAGACCTTATTTTGTAAATATCAGGCCAGCTACTTCCTCGAGACTAGAATATTCCATGGCTTTCATCCTGAATCAGAGAACCAAAGCAGCTCACGATTTAGTGCTTCCCATTCTTCCCAATGTACCTTCAATTTCAGAAATGCGCTTTTCAGTTTCTTTCTCCATCACCTTCTGCTGAAATCGAATCTTTGCCACTTGTGCAATCTTTTCTGCTTCTATAACCATTACAAAAGAAAATATCAGAAGCATCTCCAATTCCCAAAGCACTCAGAATCAGCAGCACACAGTCTAACACTAATGACATAATGCTTTATGGCTTCCTGTTCTACAAACAACTCAAAGGGAGAAAGGGACTTTCTTTCATCACAGGTCTATTGTGATAGCGCATTTTGTGGGAAGAGGGATTCACAAAAGTTAACAGTTCCAGTTTTTCATGAGCAATGGTTCACAAGCTAATGGTGAAAAACAATGCCTATGAAAGCTATCACAGAACAAAACCAGCACAGAAATGCATGGCCACATGGACAATGGGATGAAGTGGCAGGAGGAACATAAATTAAATCAAGGAACACCTTCTAGAAGGCAGTTTACAGGAATAATGGACATGTTCTGGGGGTGGGGTGGGGAGCATGCCAGGAAGCATAAAGGAAAACACGTAGGAATAAGTAAAAAAGCCACAGGGAGATAGGAGATAGAGCAGGTGACAAGACAGTGAAGAATAAGACTAGAAAGAGGGCCAGAAAACCTGTTTTGAATGACAGGTCAAGAAGCTTGGTTTTACTATATTCAGGATCTACTGCTAAGTTATCATCAAGAATACGACATAAGGAAATGAATACAAATGGAGGAACAGTCCTGCTGTAAAGATAAAACAGAAATTAAGGAAATTAATCTGAGAAGGTCAAAAGTAAGTAAGGATAGTGAGCACGTTAACCACAGTGTACAAATACACACAGGAAAAACTACCTGTGGAAAACCTCCACCTAAACCCGAACACCCAGGACCTACCATAAAAAAAACTCCAATTACACTTTAATTGCTGTAATTCTTAAACAACATTCTCACTTTTCCTTTTCAGGCAAAGATGGTGAGGACACCTTGTCCTCTGTAGCCACAGATTCAAGGAAATGCTGATTGAAAATATTGGGAAATATAAAAAAAAATGTGTGTTCAACGTGCACACTGTTTTTGGTCATCGTTTCCTAAATGATATAGTATAACCATTAACATAGCACTTTCATTATAATAGGTATAAATAATCTAGAGATGACTTAGGGTGTAAGGAAGAATGTGCGTAAGTTACATGGAACATATTCCACCTTATATAAGGAACTTAAACACCTGTAGACTTTGGTATGGGATATGGTGTGAGGTAAGGAAAGAATCAAGTCCCCAAAGGTCTCAATAGCTATTTTAACATATCTTATATCACTAGCCTCTGGGGAAAAACAAGTGACAGAAAATCTCCAAGTGTTTCTTCTTCTCAGAAAGCAGTACCCTTTACCAATTACCTCAGGACATAGTTCCCTTTCCCCACCAGAGTATAATCAAGCTATATGATTCTAACTTAAAGAGAAGCTACTGGGCTACACATTTAGCTATAAGCATAAACTCAAGGTATGTTGTTCATCACATGGGAATAAACCAATGAAAAGCATGACCAGACTTGGAATTCTAGAAAGGTGAAAGAGTAAACTAATGAGAAAAATCCTTTGGTTAATACCTTGAAACGTTACATAAAACAACATCTGTTTCAATGCACTGCAAGTTCATAAGAAAGACAGCCTCTAAGACACAGCAAAGGAGAGCCGAGAACCTGTGCAGTGGCAAGTCTGAGGCGGTTACCACAGAAGAGAGGGAGAAGGATGTGGGTAGTGTTCCAAACCTGGCCACGTTAGAAATGACTCCTGAAGAAACCAAGACCTCTAGAGGTGGTAACTCTCAAGAAAGGGGGCCTAAAGAACTGTACCTGTCTGCTCAAAGCACGCTTTCCTTTACCTCAACAGGTCAAAGTGAAACTGGAAAACATTCAAATCTAGAGTGATCTTAAAAACATAAGAACAGTGACTGCTCAGAAAGAACAATCAGACCATTGGCATGCTTGTATCACATACAAGAGTGGAAAAAAAACAGTACTACTGCCAAAGTGGTGTTTGGTGCAGAATTTAGACTAAATTACCATCTAAGAATAAAATAAAAACACTTTTAGACCAAAAAAGCCTGAACAAGCTTTCTGTTCCTTAGCCTTCACTAGAAATACAAAACTAGAAAAACAACAAACTAGCAGACAAAAAGGAGGAACTATGAGAATCAGAGGAAAAGATTACTCGACATTTCTAAATCAAAGTAAACATTTACTGTAATAGTAATGATGACAGTAGGTAATGAGAGGGTAAAAACAACATGAAACTAGACTACAGGGCAACAGTAAGGTGAGACTAGAGGACAGGGGTGAGAACTAAAGCATTTCCAAGTAGTATGCAAGAAGAGAACAAAGAATGATTAACTTCAGACTTCACCAAGTCAGATCAGACATGCCTGTTAACATTTCACAAGTGATGACCAGTTGTACATTCTGAAAATAGAATGTAAAACTTCTAGTCAAGTAAAGAAAAGGAATGAAAACAACTCATTTAATACCAATCAGAGATGAAGGGAAAAAGAATTGGAGGAAAAAATGCATGGTAAATAGCACACAATTGAGTGATAACACACAAATCCAAACACAGTAGTAACTACAATAAATATAAAAAGACTAAAACTCACCAGTTAAAAAGACAGATTCTCACATTGGATAAGATAACAAAATCCAGCTATATGCTGTTTATAAGAGACACACCTAAAACATAATGACATAGAAAAGTTGAAAGTAAAAAGATGGAAAGATACATCAAGAAAATAACCAAGAGAAATCTGGCACAACTGTATTATCATTGGCCAACAGAGGTCTTAAGTCACAAAAATATATTCAGGGATAAAGAACATTATATAAAATAGGAGGAAATCTCCAGCGACCCTGAACCTAAATGCCCTTAAAAATTACAACTCAACAAATACATAATTATAGCAGGGAATTTTAACACAGTGTTTTCAGCAGTTGGTAGCTCAAGAAGACAAAAATTAGAAGAATATAGAAGATGTGATCAATATCTTTCATAAGCCTGACACAATGCATCTACAGAGAAACCTGAATCCAATAAACAGACTACACAGTCAATGTTTTCAAGCATAACTAGAACATTTATGGAAAAGGGCCACAAGGCAACTTTCAACAAGTGTTCATATAAAAATTTTTATTTTCTGACTATAAATGACACTGAAAACCAGTAATAAAAACCTAGGCTCAAAACTCACTGAGCCAAAAACCAAACAGTATACTTATAATTAATTACTCATGAATCAAAGATGAAATTATAATGGAAATTTTTTAAAAGAATTAAAACTAAACACTAACAAGCCAAAAAAAAAAAAAAATCCTGCAAGACACAAAACAGTACTCAGAAAAAAAATTTATCCTACATGCTTCCATTTTTAAAAAAATTCAAAGTTAATGAATTAAGAACCAACAAGTTAACTCAAAGTGTGTAGAAAGAAGGAACTAATAAAAATGAGTATAAATAGCACTGGAATGAAAGCATCAATTAAACCAAAACCAAATAAAATAAGAAACGTCAAAACTGACCGAATGAAAGGGAAGGTACAAATAGACAACCTACGGAAAATGCAACATACAGACTTGGCAGGTATTTTCAAAGTTGTAGGTCAATTCTATAAATTTATGCCTCCAAATCTGAACCATCACAGAAATTGACAATTTTCAATCAATACATAATTGCCAAAACTTAGAAAGAAACAAATAATGGAACAGACTAATACACAACAGAGAAATCCAAGCAGCAGGTTAGATGTTACGGAGAAAGTACAAGCAAACAAAAAGCACAAACCGTATTGGAGCAAAGTGGTTTTCACCAGTTTTGTGAAACTTCCGAAAAGGAGGTAATACATAGATATAAGGTTCCAGGAAATAAATGCTCTTCAAGTCTTTGAGGTTTGAAGATGATACAAAACAAAAACAACCTCTAAGCCCCAAAGCAAAATACAAATAAGCAAATCCTGGAGTCTATAAGAAAAGGACGTGGCAAGCTGAGCTCATTTATAAAAAAGGAAAAGAAAATTTTTTTAATTGTCAGCAAACTTTATAGAGATCATGAATTTTCTATACCACGACCAAGTGGGTTTAATACAGCAATATAAAGAAAATTCACACCTATTAATATAATCTACCATATTAACAACTTAAAAGGAAAATCATATGTTTAACTGAACATAAACAAAAAATTTTTATAGTCATTCTTTTTCTTTTTTTGGTCTTTTTGAAACAGGGAGTCTCTTTGCAGCCCCTGCTGGCCTGGAACTCACAGAGATCAGCCTGCCTCTGCCACCCATGTTCTGGGATGAAAGGCGTGTGCCTTAACAGTCATTCTTAATAAAGGCTCTTGGCAAGCCAAGAACAGAAGGAAACCATTGACTATTAAATGCTAGACAGAAATTATTAACGTAACTATTTAAAGTTTGGGGTAAGACAAAAATGCCTATCACTTTGTATACTGCACAGGAATTCACAGCTTAAGGTAATAAGACAACAAGAAGAAATAAAAGGTGTAAAGTTTATATAAAGGAAAACCCCAGAATTGTCCTTATTACAAATGCTCACAAGGGAAACCGGATAGTGTTTGCAACAATAGCATTTTCAATAAGACTGCTAAATTAAAATATCAGTAACATGTATACAAAAGCAATGAAGATTTAGAAAATATGCCTTTATAAAAGAGCCTACTTGCCGGGCTTGGTGGCGCATGCCTTTAATCCCAGCACTCGGGAGGCAGGGGCAGGCAGATCTCTGTGAGTTCAAGGCCCGCTGGTCTACACAGTGAGTTCCAGGACAGCTGGGGCTACAGGGAGACCCTGTCTCAAAAAGACACCCCCCAAAAAGCCTACTTACAGCAAAAACCAAAGCAAACAAAAAACCCCAAACCTTAAAAGTATACACCTTTAAAAGGAATACATTTCTAACAAATGTCAAGGACTTTTAAGAAAAAAATTTTTTTCTATTTTTCCATTTTCCATGTTTGTGTGTTCCCACGTGCACCTGGAAGCCCAGGCTGATTATCAGTGAATCACCCTCTGTTGCTTTTCCACCTTATTCATCCAGGCAGGGTCTCTCAATCAAACCTAGAGTTCACCAATATGGTCAGCCTTGCCAGCAAGCTTACTCTGGGGAGTCCATCCCCATCTTCTAAGGCTAGGATTACAGGTGAGCCACTGTACACACCCTGCATTTTGTGGGTTTCTGGGAATTCGAACTCTGGTCTCAAGCTTGCACTCTAACTGCTGAGCCATCTTCCCAGCCCCAAATTAGATACTTCTTAAAAGTTGTTTCTCATAAACAGAGAAATATAACAGTTTTATAAGTATCATAAATATTGTATAAATAAGTATACATTCATTGAAGTTCCAATAAAAAATCCTAAAATAGCATTTTATAGAGTCTGACTTAGCTTTTACATTTACATGGACAAATAAAGGACCTAGAATAGCCCAGGCCAATTTCAGGAATAGCTAGGACTAAATAACAGTTATAGTCAACAGTAGCTAAGGAGAATCATCCTCTCAGAGGGTAAAACTGTTTAATAGGGAAAACATAGACCAAAACCAAAAAACTGAGACACCAAAATGCAGAACCTATCGCCAAAGCACATTATATATAAGATCTTACTACATAACACAATTTACACTCAAAATAGAGGAAATTATGAAGTACTCAATTGTCTAAACAACTGGCTCACCATTTGGAAAAATAAAAACTCAATTTCTATGCCATGTTAAACACTACAATAAATTCTTCATGGATTAAAGCCCTACAAACAAAAAGCAGAACTTTAAACTTTTAGAATGGATTTGTTACTTAATGATAGCAAAAGAATTTTTTTTTGGGGGGGGGTCTCTTTGAGACAGGGTCTCACTGTAGCCTCAGCTGGCCTGGAACTCACTAGGTAGACCAGGGTAGCCTTAGACTCACAGAGATTTGCCTGCCTCTGCCTCCCGAGTGCTGGGATTAAAGGCATGTACTATCACACTTAGCTGCAAAAGAATTCTTAAGGAGCAAGCCACAAAGGAAAAGATGATCTTGACTATGTGAAAATTAATATATATATGTCAAAGAAATTTCATAGTTCAATAGTAAGCCAAAAATCAAGAAAAGACATTTGTAATGCATAAATTTTGGAAAGGATTAACTAGTACCCAAGAAATATAAAGACCTCCTATAAACCAGTTCAAAAAAGGAATCAAATAACTGGCTAAAGATATTAAAAGGCAATACACCTTGAAGAAAAAAAAGGAAACCTGAATGACCAATAAACAACTTTACCAATAACCAGAGAAGTTAAAATTGAAATTATGTGACACTATGTCCACCACTGAACTGACATAAATGCCTGAAGTTCTAATAACTCCAAGGGGTGAGGAGGACACACAGAAAGGAGAACTCAAATATACCAGCAAAGAAATTGGAACTCACACTGAAGAGAGGGTAAAATGGAAGAACCACTCTTAAGAGTGTAATCTGGCAGTACGCTAGGAGGATACACACATCCTACGAACCAGCAATTTTATTTTCAGGGATGTTTTCTAGAAGTGCTGCTCAATTACTTGTTCTTAAAGAATAATCTGGTAGAAACCAATGACTAATTATAATAAAATTAAATTGCTAGAAAAGTAAAATTAAAAAGTAGAACATAAAACTGTAAGTTTGGGGCTGGAGAGATGGTTCGGCGGTTAAGAGCACTGACTGCTCTTGCAGAGGACCTGGGTTCGATTCCCAGTACCCACATGGTGGCTATGAACTGTCCTTAACTCCAGTTCCAGGGGAATCTGAAGCTGTCTTCTGACCTTGGTGGCATTGCACGACACAGGTGCACTCACATACATGCAGGCAACACACTCATACATATAAAATAAAAAATAAAAATATTAAAAAAAACCCTGTAAGTTCTATTTTATTAGATTCAATATACAAAAAATATTACTGTGTTAAAATGCTGCGAAAACATTAAATTCTCTCAGTATTTAGACCCTAACTCATCATGGCTCAGAAAAAAAGCCGGTAGTGAGATACTGTCCCATACCCAGGCTGAACAACGCTGCTCTAGGAAAATTCTTGCACATGTGTGAATTGGCGGCATTGAAAACGATACCTAAGCGCACAGTGGTGCTTAAAATAAAAATAACCTGGAAACTAAGTCTTCAGCAATAACTCACCGGAATAAACTGACAGCTGCTCCTAGAACGAAGCTGCAAGAGCTGAAATGAGCCGGGCTGTGTTTCATTACCTTCTGGCTCAACTTACTTTGAAAGGACATCAGAGTGTATGATGAAGTTTCCAGAATTCTCCATTACACATAATGCTATTTTATTTGAATTATCTCACTATCCAGCATGAGACTGACAAAGTACAGGACAAACTCTGAGCACTCATACTTAGAGATACTCATTTCACAGACAAATCCAAGTACCTATAACAGCCTTTTTCCTCTCGGTCTCAGCTTCTTTTTCCACAACCTTTTGTTTCTGTGCAGCGATAAGGAGCTTTGTCTTTTCTGCCTCCCTGTGAAGCAAAACACTGTAAAAATTAGAAAAGATTCTATTTTCCCCCTCCCTCCCTCTTTCCCTCCCTCCTTTGTGGTAATAGGGATGAAACACAGACATTCAGGTCTGAGGATGTAGTTTTATGCTTAGCATGTGTGATGCCCTGGACTGACTGAAGAGGGGGTGGGGAAGGTGAACACAGAATTCATTTACCACTAGAAGCAATCATATCTAAAGTGTAAAATATTTGAACTTTGAATAAACAACATTTTTTCTGTAAGTGGCTCAGATTCATGATCTACTGCCCAGCTTGCTACTTCACGCTTTACAGGCTTAAAGCAGAGGTTTACAATGAAATAGAAAAACACAACAACAATGACAACAAACTATATGACAGAATATGGACAGGAACAAAGAGGACTCAAGTACATACTTGAGCACTATTACTATTCCTTGGACCCCTGAGTGCGTGTACGTGTTTTCCCCAAGTGCTGGGGACTGAACTGAGTCTTGAGCATGTTAGGTAAGCAAAGCTGTTTTTCCTTCAGTATCTTGTATTTTCCCTTTCAACAATCAAAATTTCTAAAGAATTATTTCTTCTTTTAGTACCTATTGTGAGAATACAGCCATTTCAAATATTTTAAGTTTTATGATTAAACAGATCCTCAAAACACTTAGGAACTAATTCCATACTAAACAAGAAACTTCTCATTCATAGCTGTTCCTGGACACATAAATAAGACTATCAGGAGCCAACTCAAACTCAAGCAAGACTTTCTCCACAGGCAGTGTACAAAGATTCAGGTTTAATTATTACAATGAATGAAAAACTAAACTTTTTACCAGCTAGGTATCTATTCTTTACCATTACAATGAGGCAACAAAAAATGGACATTCTCTTCAACTATAACAATTTCTCTCCTCTATTAATATTTAATTTAAGGTTCTATTCAGAGTTCTTATGGCTTAAGCAATAATTTCACAGCAAACTGCATCTTTAGTCACTGACAATGTTTTGGAAATGTTTGTACATAAAAAGAAATCTAGTAAGGCTCCACATCATAGGTAATACTGCTGGAAATACAGAAAAACAGGTATTTATCCAATGCCAGCAAGTAATACCTTCCTTCTGGATGTTTTCTCTAGATTGGTGTGTTATTACGGGGATAGCTCTAAATGAAATATGAGGATCCCATTCATGTTACTCACATTAACTCAAAATTTCTTCTTATGGCTTCTGGGATTTTGGGTTTTGTAACACGTACAGCCTAAAATATAAAGTGAAAAGGACAAAATAAAAACCAGGCACGGTGGCTCACCTATAATCCCAGCACTTAGAGGGCAAGAGAATGAGGAGTTCAAGCTCATTCTGGGCTGCAGAGTTAGATCCTATCCCCACACCAAAACGAGACAGCAAGAACAAAAATGTCTTTTTAACTATGTCTTCTAAAGAAGAACTTCCCAAGTTGACCCTAACCACGACAGCACATCTCACGAGTCTGTGTAGGGATCCTGCTAGAACGTCTACTTTGCTTGCTGTCACACCACAGTCAGATCAAAGATCAGCTCCTTGTTTGCTGAAGTGATGTGGGGCTGTAAGAGAAAAATCTACCATCTTCAGTGAAGAAATAAACTAGGGAGAAGGTTTCCCTTAGAAGATACTTTGCAAAAGTATCAAAAGAAACAAGGTAGTCAAAGGTACAAAGTTGAAAATGTAAATTCAGGAGTCAAAAAGTAAATAAAAAACCCAGGTCAGTATGTGTAATTGAATACTGTATCTAGCAAGAAAATTAATCACTTCCTAAAGCTGGAATCACTTGGTATTAGGTATAAATGCATAGCTCAAAGCCTGACAGGTAATAAGCACCAACTCAAAGCTTCCATTCTTTCTCCCTGAAAACACACTTAGAACAAAGCTTACTTGTAGACATTCTTTACTAACACTTTGTTTTCCTAATCATAGTGTAATTTGGCATAATTAAGATTATTGACTTGTCGAAGAATTATTGGCAGCTGATTAGTGCTGGAAAATCACACAAGACTTGGCCAACAAACGAAAAATCAACTAATTAAACATCAAATACCAGGCTTTTTCCTCTAAGCAATCTCTTAAAATCAATGCAAAGAAGCATTCTGTTAGTGACTTTAATAATTGCTTACAAGGTTGTCATACAGTGCTAAATTTCTTCCTAAAAATTTCAAATAAAATCAATAGTAAATGAAAAAAAAAAGATTATTGACTTGCAAAGTGTTGGCTTTAAGGCTGACTTTTCTACAACCAAGAACCTGGTCTCTCTAAAAACTTTTGCTTTTACTCATTAAACTCCTGCAACCTCCATCTACACTGCAAATATACACAAAACACTGCTGATGATTTAATTTCCCTCTGAAAGATAGCTAAATGTTTAAGTTACAAAATCATATTTAAGCCCATGGATCTTATTTTATTTTTTAACTTTCAAGGTTTTTTGACTTTTTTAAAAAAATGGTGGCACACGCCTTTAATCCCAGCACTCAGGAGGCAGAGGCAGGTGGATCTCTGCGAGTGAGTTCAAGGCCAGCCTGCCAGCCTGGTCTACATAGTGAGTTCCAGGATAGCTGGGGCTACAGGGAGACCCTACTTCAAAAAGGCAAAAAAAAAAAAAAAAAATCATGAATTCTTCAGTGTTGTGGAGAAATAAATAAATAAATAAAAAACACAAGGGGATCTTAGTACATATAAAACAGCATCATGGGTTGGATTCCTAGCACCATGAAAACAAAAACAGTATTTGGCAGCTTCTGATGCCTTAAAAACTCCAACCTTTGCTTAGCTCCAGAAGAGAATTAGCCACTCTTTCATTTAAAAGCAAAACTGAGACCCTAAAATAGCCTCTCTTTTTTTTTGCTCAATTTCTGTCACTCTCAGAAGGAAGTACCTAGAGAACAGGATGAAGACAACTGCTTCCTCAGCCTGCTGTGAAAACTCACACAAGTTCCCCACTACTGCAACTAGGGAGCAGAGATCTCCAATTTCTGGGCCAAATTTCCAGAAACTTGGAAAACATTTTCAAGCTTCCTCCAAAGAGGAGCCCAAGGGCTAGATGAAAGATGGCAGGGGCTTTCAAACAACAAATACAGAACACCTTGTAACTTGTAAATCTAATATATCAGGCAAAATGAGGTGGCATGCACCCAAACTATTAGCTAGCCAAAAGGTTTGGATCCAGCCTATCTGATCCGAAGGTAGGGGTGGAGAGAACCAATTATTTGACCTTAACTGTCCTGAGAGAAATGTGTTTTGGGTTAAGCCACCTCGTTCCTCGTATTATCCTATTCGGAGGGCTCAAAGAGAGAGGTAGTCAAAGGGGATCTGTAGTTTCTGGCTGTACAAAGCTACCCTCCCCAGGCAGCTTGGTTCTTTGCTGCTTTACCAATGCGTTCTTCTCTCCTTATGCAGGGTACTCAGAAATGGGTAAATTTTCAATGACTTCATAACTGTCAAATACTTCAACAGCAGCTCCTCAAAACTGCCCCTGGAACCAGTGCCCCTTACAGCTCCTTGCCAGACTTATGTAGCAGCTCACTGGCTTTAGGAAATTATCTATATTCAACAAACTCTCCCACTGGCCCTTGCCACTGTACACCAACAGGGAGAGATAAGCAGTAGGCAAGACACGGTGCCACTTGGATGGAATGGCCCTTCTAAGTCTAAGAGCCCCAAAGCAAGAAGACAAGGCCACTGGGTTTAACAAGGAAATAATGCATGGTGAACTGCTACCAAACCTTCTCCTTATGGGAATTAGCTTGATAGGTCTGAACCATCAAGGAAGAATCTTGTCTGGCTCAACCTAGACAAATCTCCATGGTCAGGATGAATACAACCATCTATGTACGTAGACAGCAAAATGTATTGACTGCTGTTTATTCTAGATACTGTGGATCCAGTAGTGAACAACACAGCAAGATTGCTACCATGGCATTAAAAAATTTAAAGACATGAGACAAAAACAAAAGGCAAATAAATTAAGAGAATTTAAGATATTGAGTACTATGTAAAGAACTAAACTCTGCTGTCTGAGATACTGGGGAATTACTAACTCTGGAGGGGAAAAACAAGATTTTTATTTTGGCATAACTATCTAACTTAAAAAAAACAAAAACAAACAAACAAACAAAAAAACAAACTAAGAAAGTCCATGTAAAACACATAAAAAAACCCCAACCAAAGTTGAATGATGACAACCACAGAGTAGTGTGTTAAACACAGGAGGCTGGGGGCTGGAGAGATGGCTCAGTGGTTAAGAACACTGGTTGTTTTTGAAGAAGACTCGGGTTTGAATCCCAGCACCCACATAGCAGCTAACAACTATCCGTAACTCCAGTCCCAGGGGATCCGACAGTGTCTTCTGACCTCCGTGGGCATTGCACAGCACGGGTGCACTTGCCTACATGCAGGCAATACACACATACACATTAAAATAAAAATAATAAAGAAAATTAAAAAATATATAAAATAGAAGGCTGAAAAATAGACCTGAAGGTTTAAAACTGCATTACAACTATTAAAAGAAACTTTTTCATAAAAAGACAAATTAACAAAAACAATGGAGGAAATGAATTTCAAGGCTATATATATATTTTTCATTCAGTAATTTTTTCATAAAACAAAAAAATGAATATAAGTAAATTCAAAAGATCTTTGCTACTGGGCAGAAAATGAAGTAGAAAAGGTAAAAATGAAAGTATGGAGAGGACAAAAGGCCACTGCTGCCACCCAATGGGTTGGGGAGGACTGAAGCCCTACCTCACAAGGAAAACCAAAGTGCATTTCCCATGAACTAAAGATGCAATTCTAAGAATATCACTAAAAAAGTGGACTTTAAAACCCCATAGTTCCTTATGCCATCTACATTTCTACACATTTAAAGGGATAAAAGGCCATGAAAGTATGCCAGCCTGGCCTCACCCAACAAAAGAAGCCAATAAAGCATTAGGAAGACTTCAAACCTGTCAGAGGAGAAAAAAGAAAGTTAAATGAAAAAAAATAACAAACCAACCCCCACCCCAAATCTTGGAGGAAATGTTTAAAGGGTTTCAATATAGCTTATTTCAATCCATTAGAAAACCGTAATGAAAAAAATTTATCATTTCCACTAAAATCAGGACGAGAAAACGGTATCCAATTTCTCCATTCTTAATATAGTGCCCAAGATCTTAGCAATGAGACAAGAGGGAAATACAAAGTATAAAAAGGAAGAAGTTGAAGTATTTTTATTTGCAAATAGCATAACCTATAAGTAAAATATTCTAAAGATGCCACCAGAAAACTTAAGACTTGATAAGCACTTTCAGCAAAGATTCAGAAAAATCAATATACACAATACACCATCTTAGTAGCCTTCCTAATGACATGCCGGGATAAAAAAAATCAAGAAAACAATCTTATTCACAATAGCCTCCATACCTTCCCCCCAACACAAACAAAAACCATCTTGCAATAAACCTAACCAAAGATGTGAAAGACCTCTACAGTGAAAACTTTAGGACACTGAAGAAACTAGAGAACGCACTAGAAGATAGAAAGTTCCCCCATGCTCATTAGCAGCAAATTACTATAATGAAAACTGCTGGGGCTGGAGAGATGGCTTAGAGGTTAAGGGCACTGGCTGCTCTTGCAGAGGACCTGGGTTTGATTCCCAGCACCCATACAGTGGCTAACAACTGTCTGTAACACCAGTTCCAGGGGACTACAACACGCTCTTCTGACCTCTGCAGGCATTGCACAACATGGGTACACTTACACACGTATAATATACTCATACACATAAAATTAAAAAAAAGAAAATTGCTGTATCACTGAAATCTACAGATTCAATGCAATCAAAATGACAATGACATTCTTAAAAGAATTTTTAAAAAACTTTTATTTTAAATTATGTATAGGTGTGTATGTTTGTGCATGTGAGTGCTAGTGTCCGTGGAGGCTAGAAGTAGGCATCATCTCTGGAGCTCAACTTACAGGTGGTTGTAAGCTGCCTGACATGAGTGCTGGGAAGTGAACTCAGGTCCTCTGCAAGAGAAGAGTGTGCTCTTAACTGCTAAGCCAATTCTTAAGCCCCCTCCCAGTGACATTCTTAATAGAAATAGAAAAAGCAATCCTAAAATTCATATGGGACCAAAAACACCAAAGCAAACTTGAGCCAAAATAATAATGCTGGATATACCACCAACCTGATTTTAAGTTATCCTAGAGTCAGAGTAACAAAATCAGTTTAGTACTGGCACA